CGTGACATTTGGGCAGCCCGGTGGCTCAGTGGTTAGCAATGCTGCCTCACAGCGCCAGGGACCTAGGTTCAATTGCACTCTTGGGCAGCGTGTCTGTGTGGGTTTCCTCTGGGTGCTCCGGTTTCTCCCACAATCCAAAGATGTGCAGGCTATGTGGATTGGCCATGCTAAATTGCCCGTAGTGTTCAGGGATGTGTAGATTAGGGGAATGGGTCTGGATGGAATGCTCTCAGTGTCAATGTGGACTTGCTGGGCCGAAGGGCCTGTTTCCACACTGTAAGGATTCTATGATTCCAGGTCTGTTTCTCAGTGGTTTGTACACAGAGTCTGAGACACAGAACCGGAAGTGGTACCAAACACCCCGACAAACTTAGGCATACAAATAACAAGCGGTACAGAGCACCCAAGCTTCACCTACTGACGGTGTTACCCAGCAGGGTAGCTAAACATTTGCAACCAAACCCACTGGTACACTGGTACCTCATCCACAACCTGAGCTACAAATCTTGTCGAAACCTTCAGAAGGCATACGTTTAACGTGATAGGGGAAATACATAAAAGAGACCTAGGGCCCAGCGTTTTCACATAGAGTGTGGTGTGTGTATGGAATAAGCTGCCAAAGGAAGTGTTGGAGGCTACTATGATTATATCCGCCATAAGGAATCTGGATGCGTGTATGAATAGGAATGCTTTAAAGCGATATCACCCAAATGCTGACGAATGGGACTAGATTTATATAAGATATCTGGTTGGCATGGACGAATTGGACGGAAGGGTCTGTTTCGGTGCTCTATATCTCTATGACATGAAGTAATTTGTGCTTCTCATAAGGCACAGTGTTTGCTGGCATGGTAACCAGTGTCACTGAGATGCTCTAGCTGATAACTAAAGGTTGTGCCAAATATTTAATCTCTAAATTTGGTTAATATTCTTACAACCAGAAAGTATCAAAACTAAGATGCTTAGCAGAAACAAATACAAGACATAAAACAATAGGTGAAAAATCGTAAAAATAATTGGGATTGTGGTTGAAGTAGGCGTGGATGGTTTGAGATTCGAGACTAGGTTTCATCACATTATTTAACATCAAGAACTTAACTTAATTGAGATTCCAAGTTATATTTCGGGGTGGGTTTGATTTACTCTCCAGGCAGCCTTTCCCCACAATTGTGTAATGTATCCACTTAGTCAACATTACAAATAGAAAGCATGAAACTGTGAACTAATTAATGCATTCATTGAACCGTAACTAAGGTGTGTATTCAAACAACGCTTTGTCTGGAGAATTTTATCCAGTATAAATGAGGCCATTTGGTTTTTGTCTCATAGCTAAGGTTTATAGCTTGGAGAATTTTCTTTGTGTTTGCAAGACGATGCATGGTCCAGCAAATGGCCTATTCTATGCAATTTACTATCTTGTTCTCGCTGCCATTGGAGTCCCGGGTAAATTGTACACATTATTTAAATTATCTAATCTTGTAAATCGTCAGAACACAGACTCTAATTCGGGATGGCGCCCTTCCTTTCTGAAATGGAACGAATAGCAATGAGCCTTAACTGGTTGAGCGCAAGTTATGCTGAACTACAGTGATATAAGTATATTTGTTCCACTTCCATTATGCAGTATTAAATATATTATTTCATGCATTAAGCGGCACATTTACAGAATGATTATTTGCTAAATTGCTGAAATAGCATTTAGAATAAATGATATTATGCAAACCTGATACTTTTGAGTGCAAAATTTATATTAATATAACAAAAGCTCAGTTTAATATTTTAATGTTTAAGGAACAATAGTGTAATACATAGAAAAGTACAATTTTGTCTGTGTAGTCCACTTGAATTAGCCCTGATTTTATTGACAGTGGTGGAGAAATTATTAGCGTTGTAAACGAATCCTTCCAAATGCAGTGTAAATTCATTGTACGTTCAGTGATTACACAGATCCACAGTTTGACAGCTGTATTGAAGCCACAGTCAAAGCAAAGATAGTTTCAACTGTTCCGTCGTCATTGCCAATATGACCCTGAAGATTAGTTGCACAAATGTTTGATAGGGGCGAATAGATTTTCAAAATTTAAATTTGTTAATTGTTTCACTTTGAGCTGAATTTTGAGTGCATTTCTGCTTTTTTGTTTAGGATAATTGTCTTCGTTTTTCAGTCAGAAGCTATGGTTGGCTTTGTCAAACTGAACATTTATTGCCTTTCTTCAAATTTCACTTAGGAACTTCGAATTTATTTTTAAAATCTAATTCAGCCATTGAATTATGCGTGTTGGCGATGTTGCACAGGAAACTTAATAATGAAGATTGCATATTGATATACAGACGGAGATATTTGGACAGATGATCAAAAGTTTGATCAAACGGCAGGTTAGAAAGCAAGTCTCCGTGAATGGTACAGAGATGGGCCCGTTGAGCCTCAGAAATGCGATGGAGTAACTTATTTTTATCAAACATGTAGTAGATGGGAGAACTGCCAGAATGTGAGGATGTGGGAGGTTTGTGTACCAATCTCAAATCAATTTATTACACATCTTTGAAGAGATAGTGCATGCTGTGGTTAATACGGACCTGGCAAAGTGAATGCACGTGGATTTCCAGAGACATTTAATATGTTTCTCCATAAAAGGTTATTTCAGAAAATAAAAGCTCATGATGCAGATGCTATCATCTCGAAATGGATAAAAATTGGCTAGCTGGGAGAAACAGATACTGCACATAATTATGCATTTGGCTTGATTAGTAAAGTCCTGCAGGGGTCTTTGATGTGTATTTTTTAAAATAATTTCGATCAATGACTTAAATGGTGGCAGAGAAGGTAATGTTGTAAAATTCGCTGATGACCAACCTAGCTATAAAATTACGTACTGACGATGATATGAGCTATTGGCAAAGGATGCAGTAGATTTAAGCATCCATGTGGTTAGAATTGGACGATATCACCACAGTAGCCCAGTTTCATTTTCCTGTCAGAGAACAAAGGCTTACTCTGACGACCGTTGTGTTGCAGTAATAGTGATCTACCTCTGAGCCTGGAGGTCCGAGTTCAAGTTCAACCTGCTCCACAGGTGTGTCATAGCAGGTTACAAAGAAAATACGAGGAAAAGTAGCCTATTATGCCCTTAGAGCCTGGTCTGCTACTCATAATGATAATCGAACGCAGTCTTTTCCTGCTTTATCTCCATACCCTTTGATTCCTTTAGCCCCGAATTCTATATCCAACTCCTTTCTGGAATCATCCACTGTTTTTGTCATCGATTGCTATCTGTGGTATCGAAATCAATAGGCTCACTACTCTCTGGATGAAGACATTTCTTCTCGTTTCATTCCAAAACTTTTTTCGCCAATATCATAAGACTGGGGCCCCTGGTTCTGAACTCCACTGCCATTGAGAGCTTCCTTCCTGTGTTTAACAGGTCTAGTTGTATTCGAATTTTGTAGATTTTGTTTTAATGTGATCCACTCATTCTTCGAAATGGCAGTAAGTGCAATCCTAACCGTGTGAAGTTGTTCAGTTTTGGAAGAAAAGTGGAAAGGCAGAGTATTACTTAAAGGGAGAACGGCAGTAGATATTCTACGCATTGGGTGATTAGGCATTCTATTGCATGTAACAAAATTTCGGGTTTTTTGTACAGCCTATAATCAAGAATGCTAATGGGATTTTTTTCAATATTATGACAGGGACGTTACTTAAAACTAAGGATCTTATGAGTCAGTATTACAGGACATTGTTGAGACCACAGCTCAAGTACAAAGTGTAGTTTTGATTTCCTTATTTAAGAAATGATATAAATGTGCTGCAGGTAGTTCAGAAGAGGTTTACTAATTGGCATGTGCAATGACTGGGTTACTGTATGAGAATAAATTGGAACGGCTGAGTTTGTTTCCTCTGAACCTTCGGAAAAAAAAGAGGGGTGACTTAATAATGTATATCACTTCATAAGTCATCTTGGAAAGTTGGGAGAGAAAGGATGTTTCCTTTGTGTCCAGTCCAGAATTGACAGCACAGTTTCAAATTAAGGGATCATCCTTGAAGAACAAACATAAAGCGTTTCTTTTCTCTCCAAGAGATTTGTGCAACTTTGGGACCCTCTGGCTCTGGTTTTGGGCCCATGTAATGTCATATGAGGTAGATAAAGCCTTGTCTGGCAAGTAGATCAATAAATAAATGGAAATACGACATTTGAAACACAAACATGATTCACGTCTTTAGTCGATGGTGGAACAGGATGGAGATCACTAATGGTCTCATTCTGCTTTTCTTTCGTATATCTATATGTCAGTACTTTTGTAGAAATTCTAAATCTCTACTGATCGGGGCTGGCAGACTATAGAAAGCTGTTATAACAATGATGAGAATATTAAACACAGATTATCGTTGAACCAGTAACCAATACAAATGTTTGCACAGAGGTGTGACGGTAAATGGAAATTGCTGCGAGCAATAACATGGTGGGGGGGGGGGGGGGGGGGTGGGGGTGGCTTATTGCTTGACAGATGAATGCCAAATGTCAGGTGATCGCTAATTCACTCAGATTCAAAGTGCCACTCAAGAGACAACTCCAATGATCTTGAGTATAGACTGAACAATGGCAAGGGCATGGGCTCTAGCATCAATAAGCCAGGGCACTGTACAGAACACATAATATTAAAATAAAAAGTTGATATATGCAGTATCGGTGATAACAATCAAAATTAGGATGATAGTCTTCAGGATCATATCTCATTTGAAAGTCGACTCTAAGATTCTAAAGCATCTGAAGCTTCAGATGATGGCCCAGATGGAGACGCAATCAATGTCCTGAGAACAGAGTTAGTAGCGATGACTGAAAGCAAAGTGTTCTGTATTGACTCAAGTTTCATCCAATAGTGGGCATTGAACAAGAATCTAGGGCTTTTCACTGATTGGAATCTTGAACCAGGAAATTAGATACAGTGGGCGGGCTTGAAGTCATTTCGTAAACTGTCTATCTTTCCTTTTCACAGCCAACTTGATGGCGATCATAATTCTGTCCCGAGGACAGTGTGGACTTTCTCGGTGCATCACTTACTACTTGGTGGTGATAGCAGCGAATGATTTCCTTGTCATCATCACTGCAGTCATCTTCAACAGGATTGGTGGCATTTACTTCAGGTACAGTGTTATGTCCACCACCCCCGGTTGTACGGTTAGCACCGTGCTTATCTATGCTACCCGCGATGGGTCAGTCTGGCTGACAGTGGCATTCACTATCGACCGTTTTATCGCCATCTGCTGTCAGAGTCTGAAGACTAGGTACTGCACTGAGAAAACTGCGTTGCTGGTCATAGGAGGCATCAGTGCCATGAGTTACATCAAGAATGTCCCTTTCTTCTTTACCTACAAACCCTTGTACACCGTGGATGGAGTTCCCTGGTTTTGTGATATCAAGTCCGCCTATTACACATCGCCTGCATGGCAAGTCTATGACTGGCTGGATCACATTTTAACTCCTGTTCTACCATTCTTCCTCATTCTGTTACTCAACGTTCTGACCATAAGACATATCCTAACTGCTAGCAGAAACCGGAGAAGGCTCCGGGGTAATAACAATTGCACAGATCACGAGAATGCCAACCGCAGAAGGTCCATTGTTCTGCTGTTCACCATTTCACTAAGCTTTCTCCTCCTGTGGGTCACCTATGTAGCACATTTCCTCTATGTGCGGATTACTGGTAATGGCTACTTCACTGGCCTGGATTTCAAGAACCCAGACTTCATCTTTCAAGAGATGACAAACATGTTTCAGTTGCTCAGTTCCTGCAACAATGTCTTCATCTACGCAGTCTCCCAGACCAAGTTCCAAGAAAACCTGAAGGAGCTGTTGATGTGCCCTTTCACCATTCTCACTGGCTGTTTTAAATATTAAAGAAACAAATAAATTTCATGACTCTTATCATTGATCAGAGGGCTCCAACCTTTCTTTTTTCAGTTTAATCTGAAAGTTATGGGTTGAAGATTCTTCACTCAAGAGATGCTAAAACACTGTCTGTTAAATTCTTAGATCGAATAATTTCTTACATTAACTGTTTACAAACCAAAGGAGAGTTTATTGACACCTTGGGCTAATAGTTAACTCTTATTTGCAACGAACATGATTAGCTTTCTGTGTTTACCTCTTTTCTTTTAATCAATGCTTTGTCTGGGTTGATTTGCTTTTTCTTTATTTTTATTTGTCTTCCTTTCTTATTCTTCCCGCCTTTCCTTCTTTTCTTCCTCCCTCCCTTCCATCATTTCTTTCTTTCTTTCTTCCTTCCTTTTATTCCATCATTGTTGTATCCTATTCATTTTCTCAGAATCACACTTTGCAAACCCGTCTCTGAGAAACATTACGTTTCATTTCTTGATTCTGAATGCATACTTTGCTACTTGACCTTATAATTTCGCGATCTGTCTCTGCCATTTCTATATTTTCCTTTGGACTGCATCGCTTTCAATTTCTCTGTGCGAATCCAAATATTAGGTCTTTAAATATTGCTCCTTAATGATCAAATTCTTATTTCCTTTGATTTTCTTTTTCCTCAATTTCTGCAATAGTCTTTCACAAGCATTGTGGTCATAAATTTTCTAAGTTCTTGGAAACATTGTGTTCTTGGAACAATGAAAACTTATCGCTCCATGATCGTACTTAAACAGACGCAGTTTGGTCGTTTAATTAAAGCCAATCAGAATCTACTTGCCTGGTATAAGAATTAAGCTTGACAGGTAACATTTCTTGCTGCAACTCCATTCTAATGATAGCCCAGATAATCAGCACTCTCTTGCTATGCTGTTTAAAAATGTCTCTTTGTTCAAATCTGTATCTTGTGTCCGAGTTCTGATGTGTTCAAAATGAAAAGCTTCAACATCAAGTCTCCTTTCAGTAATTTTTAAATTATGTTATAACTGTTCTTTTACATATTGCACTGCAATTAGAGATCTTGTCAATTGCAAAAGTAGGCGAAGTTGGATTCCTACAATTTGCACTTTCCTGAAAAATTGCAGAAGCACAAAAAAAATCTCAGAGACAGAGAGATCCGATTGGCACACAGATATCAGGCGATGTGTGAGATTGTTACTGTAAGGACTTAATGGTAAATTTGTTCAATGTGGGGTTTGAATCTGCAAGGTTGTTATAACTCTGTATCGCACATTAGCTTTCCAGCGAACAGAACACACTTTATAAGCCTCAGAAGCGAAGCTTATAAACTCTTGAGTGTATTCTTCAGAATTTCAAAAGATGCCCAGTACTGCATCTCTACTGTCATATCTTGTAACCTAAGTTCCATGTTGACTTAAGCCAGCACGTTCTGCGTTAAACAAAATCATAAATTGCTGGAAAATCAAAGAAAACAGCGAGTCAGGGAACATGTATGGAGAAAAGAGAACAGAATTAACGTTTCGAGTCCTCTGACCCTTCATTAGAACGATCTTTGTGCCCTCATATTTGTTAATATTTAAGTATCAAACGGCAACAGATGGCTCTCTCCAACTTAAATTGATATTCACTCACGTTGTAATCACTGCTACCCATGCGTATCATATACATGTCATTAAGCGACCCTGTCTTATTTACAGATCTGATACATATGTACTTAGTTACTTCAGAAAAAAAAATCTGCTCTACGAATTGCCCTGAAAATTATCCACGAATTCATTGGTCAGGCTATTTTGATTCATGTAGCAATATGCAGATGAAAATCACTAATTACGACATCTGCGCCTTTATCACAGTCTCTCAACATTTCTACTTTTATTCCCGGCCAATATTCAATAATTGATATTATTATTCTAATATTTTTGGCATAATTTTGTGATTGTTCCTTTTTTAACATTCAATAGAAGGTGACTTTGGAACTGACAAAATTGCACATGTGGTGAGAACAAAGAAATAGGCGGCTCTGTCAGATATTCTGCTTTGCAAGAACAATTGTGATTGGTGATCAAGCGTAATGAAATGGCTAGGAAGTCATATTGGATGCTTGCCATTATTAACCGAGACCTGGAGTTTAACGCAGCTGTAACGTTGTAACTGTGATTTCACGGGAGATGCTGCCGTGGAGATTTACCAGGACAGCAGGAAGGACTGAACTGGAGAAATTTAGTTGTGAGATACTTAACTGTAAGTTCACTGATTTTGGTACAGTCACTATATGGTTTGCATTGTCAACATATACGCGATTAAGTTAATTTTGACAAATCGCACATATTCAATTGTTGTGAGTATCTGATGTCATAAATGACTTAATTGTTACAGATCACGAAATAACAAGAGACGACATTCACTGATTAGGGCTAAAACTAGCGGCAGGCGTGGGAGCACCAAATCTTAACAGAGTTAGTTCAAACAGAGGAAACTTGCTCAGCCAAAATTTGCTTCCAGTGTGTTGAACATGGACACAAAATGAACTGTGAGGGGATGTATTGCCACAGGCTGTGGATGAGCAGATTTCAACTTGCAAAGCGCACCAACGTCAGAAGAACATAAGAACATAGGAAATACGAATTGGATTCGGCCAATCGGCCTCACGAGACTGCTCCACCTGAATCACTTATCTGATATGTCTTATGGCTGCTTTCCTACTCATTCTCGTATCCATTGATTCACTGACTGATCAAGAATCTATCTACATCAATCTTAAATATATCAAGAACTCTGCTCCCACAGCGCTCTGTGATAACGTGCAAAAGATGCAAAGACTCACAAACCTCTGAGAAAGGAAATTTCTCATCTTGGTCTAAAATTGGAAAGGTTTTATTTTGAGACCAAGCCATTTGGTCCTAGACTGTCCCAAGAGAAGTATTATCTTTTCAGCATGTACTCTGACACGAATCTTAAGAATTCAACATGTTTTAATGAGATCATCTCCAATTCTTCTAAACTTCAGTGAGTAATTGCCCAGTCTATTTAGCATTTGCTCATTAGACAATAACTGCATACCAGCGATCATCCTCATAATCCTTCTAATCCGCCCCAGTTAAATGATCTCTTTTCTTAAATGATGTAACCAAAACTTCTCACGATACCACTGGTGTTGTCTTGCCAACGTCTTGTACAGTGGCAATATGATTTCTTTAATCTTTACCCGAACCCTTGAAACATTGCATCTAATTTCGTGATTACCTGCTACACCTGTACGCTAGCTTTCTGTGTTTCGTGCAAAACTACCAATTCCTTTTGTGTTCCAAATTTCCGCAGTTTCCCACCGTTTAAATATTACATTGTTCTTTTGTTCTCCCTTCTGAAATGAACAATTTCAAATTTTACACGTTATATTGTGTTTGCCAACTTTTTTTCTCACTTACTTAAAATGTTTCTATCTCTCATAAACTGTTTGTATCCCTCTCGTACTTATCTTTTTTTTATCACTGACGTTTATGTCACGTGCTAATTTGGATACAGTGCATTCATTTCCTTCATCCAAGTCGTAAATCTATTTGTAAACATTTGCAATCCTAACACTGATCCCTACGTAAATACATTGGCTACATGACCACAACGTGTAAAATAACCCCCTGTCCCCAGTCACTATTTCCGGACTATTAGCCAATTGAATCCCGATTCCAATGTACTACTTGCAACGTCATAAGCTCTTATTTTCTTTCTTAAACTTTCGTGAGGTACTTTGTTAAATGCCTTTTCGAAGTCCAAATATACACATCCACTTGTTCCCTTCTATCCACTCTGGTAGAGACTTCCTCGAAAAACTCTAAGAAAGTAGTGAGGGACGTTTATCCTTTCATGAAGCCAAGATGACTTTGCTTGATTTGATTATGCTTTTGGAAATGGATTGCAATTACTTCTTTAATAATTGATTACAACATTTTTCCAACAATGCATGTTCGGCTAATCGACCTACAGTTAGGCGGTTTTTGTCTCCTCCCTTTTTTTTAAGAAAGGAAGGGATATCATATTCTTGTTTCCTAATGGTCCGGTACTTTACAGATCAAGGATTTTTGGGGAAAGAAGCTCAACCAGTCCTTGAGTATCAGTTGAATAGTTCTGCATTGTTAGACAACAGCAAGTTCTCAGTTGGATCAACCAGACGATCTTAGCAAAAAGGCTTGCTGTGGGAACTGTAAAGTGCAACTGAGACTCAGTTGGAATTTGAAGTGACAGTTTGCTGTTCAGCAAGCATATGCGTTAATCAAGTAAGGCAAAGCGCCACATGGTGCAGCTCTTCTGTCCATCAATATGTCCCTTTCCTTAACTGTTCAGTCAGTTTACTTCAGTGTTCTGGTGTTTCAACGTTGCTCATTGGGAATTTCAATCATCATCTACTTTTTCATTAAAAAAAAGCTCATAACGGAAAACACAGGATAAGAGTAAATAAAATTTCTGTTGCATTGGTTTAAAAGTGATGTTTTCAGTTGCTAAAGAAACGTGATAAAGAAGATATGTTCATTCTCTTGGGACCTATAATTGCTTTAATACACACAGAGCGAAACTTAAAAAGGAAAGGAGACGTTGTTAATTAAACAGGAGCGATGTGTGAGACATTGTAAACAGTGGGAAATAAAATATGATCCATTGGCACTTACATTGAGCCTTGCCCCACTAGCTCAGCCCTCACGCCCTGCTTCATGGTTCCCAGTAATCATTGCCTTGCACTTTTTTTTTCACGTCCTCGCTCCGCATCTGCCCTTGCTCTTAACTGATTGCAAGTCTATGATTAGAAACTGCATTTTAAAAAAAAAATTACCTAGCACATGAATATCGCTAACAGAGATAGGATTCTTTGCCTATGCCTAGTTCCCCCAGAGATGGAGGGAATGAGCAACTTTCTTGAACCCCTGAACTCTTTGGCATGTAGGTACAGGCATCGTGCCATTAGGGAGGGAGTTCCAGGATTTGGACCCAGCGACACTGAAGGAACAGAGATATATTTC